AGGAGCTAATGCTGGGAACTCAATGTACGAACAAGAAGTTGTTGGGACATCGGAGTCTAGCAATGAGGTTTTTTTAGCCAAAGCATTCGTGACAAAGTTACTCTCTTTCAAAATTGACTGATCATATAATGCTTGAAAGGCTTAAACGCGGCCAGCTTTCCTCAGATAGTTAATCATATTCTCTCTTTGACTTTCTCCCGGGATCTGATTAACAACCAGTTGGGAGTCACTATAGATGTCAATTATTTTCGACCACATTTCTCTGTTAGTAGTAGACTAGTAAATAACACTTCATATTCGACCTGATTATTCATAGCTTTGAATATGAACCTAAGAATTCCATGGATCCGAGTCCCTTCAGACTAAGGAGTAGAAGAACAGCTCCGGCTCTTCTTATTCAAAGACCATTACATAGAGGATCCCAGTTGGTAAGTTCTAAAAGTTTCCTAGACAAATTCGCTGGCTGTCTGTTCGGGTTCTTGATCTGGCTAATAACAGAACTCGAAAATAAAATCAGCAACGCCTGCCCTTTGACTACTATCTCGGTTGTAATACAGATTGAATTGGCTTAATTTCATAGCCCATTTAAGCAACTTACCCCAAGCCTCCAGCTCTTGAAGAACTTGTCTAATGGGTAGTTAGTCAGAATATGGATGGTTTGGCATGAAAGTAAAGTTGTAACTTCCTAGAAGTAATCAGTAGGGCATAGGCAATAGTTCCATCTCTGGATATCGTGTCTCGACATCCAGCAGCCGCTTGCCCCCTATATACATTGGCCACTAAACTTTGCCCTCTTCTCAGATGAGAGTTGTACTGAACGCATACTAGGAGACGGACAGGTAGATATAATAAGTTCTCCTTGGGAAGAGGCTTGGATAGAAGAGGCAGCTTTCCAGATATTCCTTTATGCTGGAAGGCTTCACATTCGGAGTCCATTCGAACTTCTTGTTAGCCTTGAGTATATTAAAGAACGGCAAGCAATGATCGTGTTGCTCTCATATGAAGCGACTGGGAGCCATTATCTTCCCATTCAAGCTTAAACTTGCTTTTGTTTACGGGACTTGTATATCTAATAGAGCGCGATATTTTCGAGGTTGATTTCAATCCCTCGATGGGTGACCATATACCCTGAGAATTCCAAAGGATACTTTGAACGAACACTTACTTCGAAGTAGGACGAACATTTCAACAAGATGTGTTATGTGATTTGAAGCGAAATGCGAAACCGCATGTCATCGATATAGATCTCCATGATTTTCCAATCTACTTGGAAAACATATAGTTAAAAACGTGGTAGGTTGCCCAAGCGTTCTTTAGAACGAAGGGCATGACCTTATAATAGTACAGTCTTTGATTGTGATGAACGGGTATACTCCTTATCATGCTATACATGGGATCTGATTTACCTCAAATAGTGTCACAGAAGCTCAACAATTGTGCCCAGAGGTGGCATTGATGAGCTTACGATCCTGGGCAAAGGGAAACTATCCTTCGGATAGGTATGTTGAGGTTAGAGAAATCAACGCCAGTTCGCAACTTGTCTTGGGTTTCTTCACCAAAACCAGATTGGCGACTAACTCAAGTAATGAGATCCCGAATGAACCCGTTTGAGAGGAGTTTTTCCCTCAACTTTAAGGCAACCTAGCGCTCCGAGTCCATGGCTTTTCTTTCTGGGAACTAGCTTGACTGCGCTGTTGATGTTAAGTACATGACATATTATTTTTGAACTGATCCCGACCATATCAGCATGAGTCTATGCAAAAACATCGATATTTTGTCTGAGCAAGCTTGTTAAATCTATATAGTAGCTGTGGGCTAAGATACTCCTGATTCTCAATGCTCGCGTTGACTCATTCTGTCAATAGATACGTCTGAAAGAGACTCAACGACCCCACATGGGAATACTCCTCTTGAACTTGAGGATCTATGCAATTTCCACTAGACGAGTTATGGCTCGATCTACTGATCGCCATTGCTTACTGGGAATGCATCGGCATCCCTTTCCCTTTGCAGTGCATCTGCACTGCCTTTACATAATAGTCGCGAGATTCGCTCTAAGACCCTTTCATTTCCCCACACCCCGTCGGAGTGGGAAACTTCATCTTCAGATGATAAATAGAGGTGATGGCCTTAAAACTTCATAGTAATACTAAAAACTCCATCATCTGATCACTTCGTTGGTCCATCACAAAGTGACGAGAAGTGCGATGTTCCTTGGGGAATTAGATGATACCTCGTAAAACCATAGAGAGGAATAGAGGCAGGCTTATACTACCTCGTCTAACTGCATCTCCTTAAAAGTCGCTGAAATAGATATTCAAAACGCTACCAGTACACAACCTGTGAACTTCATACGACGACTTCAGGCACGATGACAAGTGCATCCTCATGGGGAGATGCAGTCGCATCACATCTTTCTCTAAGAAGGTAATCTTTTCTTCTCTGTGAACCTTAACAGGCCACATATGTCATGTCATACAATCACAGAGGTCATGGCGAGCTTTCGAGTGTACCTTTCCTCGGCACTCGAGAATTCCCTCGAGATGCGGTCCTTCAAAATAATCTCACAAAGTAAAGACCCTTGCAACCACGACATTCTTCCCCAGTTTTTGATCTCTCCCGAATGGGTCGCTCTTGATCCTTCTCCCGAATGGGAGTCGGACCGTTAACATACTCCTTGAAGTGCCTCTGCTTGATGAGGTCTTCATTGCTAGCTTGAGAGTCCGACACTCATCGTGTGTGGTGCCTATATCTCGATGATAACAGCAATATTCCTTTCTGTTTTTGCTAAAGAAGGATTATTCATCAGCGCTAGCTCACCAAGCAGGCCGACCTCTTTGACTTGTATAGAATAGCCGATACTAACATGTTTAGAAAAGTATACTAATTCTTGTCGCTATTGCGATAAGGAAATGGGCATAGGATTATTAGGGCTTAAACAACTGTTTTCTCCCTTCGCTGATCGTCATTGGCCACTTGCAATCAGCTCTTCTACTACCTCCACTGGTTAGGAGCATTGGTCAAAGTATTGGGGTCATGGCAATGGAGCGGCCATGGAATTCTCTATTCGGAGATAATTCTCTGTAAGGTCGTGGAAGCGGGGTGAGGGAAAGTCATCCTTGGATTGCAGCTTTTTCACAGGTTGGTCTACGGGTGGACTTCTACAATAATGAGAGTCTGAACAGATTCTTCAGATGTGTTAGCCACCTTGTGCAACTCCCTGTGGAACCTGTCAATGTAGGATTGGAGGGATTCATTCTTTTCCTGCCATATGTTGCTTAGATATCTCAACGGCATTGAGAACTTCCTGTTCACCTGGAAGTGTCTCAAGAATAATGAGCTCATCTGTGCCAGGAGTTAATAGATCTTGGTGGAAGTGATCTAAACCAGCTCTTGGCATGGGCAGTCAGGATCACTGCGAAACAGTGCCATTAGCCAAGTTGGAAACTTGTTGAAGCTCCATGAGGTCGTAAAATCATAGAGGTGGTCTTGCAGATTAGAATTCCATCGAATTCTTGCATGTCAAGCATTCTAAACCTCAATAGGAGAAGAGCAGCTAAACATACTAGAGAAGGGAGACGCCTAGGACTCCTCGTGCTATTTTGTTGAGCTCTAAGCTGATCTAGAGCTCATTGTAACTCTTTAATCTGAGGCAACACGATGTCTAGTGATATTTTTGCAACATGGGTTCGACCTCATGATTACGGTTGAGAAAAGACCACATATCGGACTCTTCCTCTCCTCGGTCAGAGGCTTGACATATCTTGACACACGTTGAGTGAAGCCATGTGAAGGCAATGAAGGTTAGAGGAGTTAACCCAACCCCTCAGTGGTCAGAACCGACCCAAGTTGCTAGGGGTTCCTTGCCTTGCACTTGTAAGGGGTGCCATGCAATATGGCGTAGGACGGTTCATGATGCAACATGTAGCCAAGTGTAAAGCCATAGGTATTCTACATGTTTCATGGCGGTAATCGTTGGTCCTTTGGAGCCCTTCGGTAATTATCTGCCCCCTATTTCCCTTTCCTTTCACGTGCACAGTGTGCGTGACATGGGCTATCGCCCGTTTTCTGCTTTAGCGTGACCTATAGGCGTTTTTGTGGTAGCATCGCCTTATTAGACTCAGGTGGTACAATTTGATCAAAATGGTCTACCTTCAGTTAACAGTTTGGAGAGTATTGTTGAACCTCTCTAAGTAATCCATCACCACTGGGTCGAGCTATGAGCTCGAAGGAATGTCCGTTGTGGTACTATACTGAATCAGGGGCACTTTGGGAGAAGTGTTATCCGTACCCTAGGGACCTCCTCGTTGCGGGGCTAGCTTGCTTGGTTTCGAAACCACGGGCCATTTGCTAAGGAACATCGATTGATCAGAGATTCCTGATGAGAGATATACTAAATCAGGCTCCTTTAGTGCTAAATTGTGATGCTGATTTTGACACCAATACTTGCACATGCAAGTGCTAAGGAACTTAGAAATTGCACGTGAACTGGGAAATAAAACAAATAAAAGGGAGACGATTTTTAAAGTGGTTCAGAACCTCAAAGAAAATCCTAAGTCCACTACTTTTTATTATGAAAGAATACAATCAGGTCGTATGCAGTGATCTAAGAGAACCGAAACACAAGAAAGGAGGGAGAGAGTGTTTTGTTATCAAAACTACAATCCCGAAAAATAGAGAGGAGCCCTCTATTATAGTAAGACGTTTTTAGGGAATGATTATGGTTGCCAGCAGGCAATGCCATGCAGTTCCTACCCTGCTTCCATTGGCTGATTGCATGGAAGATAACCTAAATATGTAGGGCTTGGGCAAGTGGGTGACTCCCAATCGTTCACTCGCCAGGCCTTATCAAAGCTGATGACAGCCTTACTCCTTCTATCCTTAGGCGACATGGCAGTGTCTAGATGGCACAATGCCTTCGAATTCTAATTGGTCCTCGCTGACGTAAGCCTACATCAGCCTAATTTTTTAGGATCACAATATGGAAATTTTTCGGACCTTCCATTCTTCACTACCCTTTGTTCTTTGATCTTGCTATTGAGCATGGAGTTGTCATCTGCAGCTAATATGATAACTCCCAGACAATTTATCAGAGATGGGGAGACATTAATTTCGTCCTCCCAAAACTTTGAGCTAGGCTTCTTTTCTCCAGGAAAATCAAACTACAGGTACGTGGGGATCTGGTACAAGATTAGTCCTGAGATAGTTATGTGGGTTGCAAACAGAAAAGATCCGATTCCAGATCATCAAGGAGCTTTAATTATCAGCAACAACGGAAGTCTTGTACTTATCAACCAAAATAAGAGCATTATCTTGTCTTCCAACTCATCCAGGGTGCCAGAAAATCCAGTGGTACAACTCCTAGATTCTGGAAACCTTGTTCTTAGGGACAGTAATGACAGGAATCCTGAAAGCTACATGTGGCAGAGTTTTGATTATCCATCAGACACATTGTTAGAAGGCATGAAGTTGGGATGGAACTTAAAAACTAGTTTTGAGCGACAATTGACCCCATGGAAAAGTGAAGATGATCCAGCCCCAGGAGAATCTAGCCTCAGACTTGACATTAGTGGGGTGCCTCAACTAGTCATTGGTACGCCATCAAGGAAATCAGTTCGTAGTGGACCATGGAATGGTCTTCAGTTCGGTGGCATTCCCATGATGCACAACAAGGTCTTCAAACCAATGTTGGTGCACAAAGAAGATGAGTTGTATTACGCATATGAGCCTTTTGACAAGACAGTTATCACAAGATTAATGGTGGATCCAACAGGTCATATGCAGCGTCTTGTATGGAATGAGAAGTTTAGGGGATGGCGTATTGTGTACTCTTGGCCATAAGACATTTGTGATAATTATGCACAGTGTGGTGCTAATGCTTACTGCAGAATTAGCAAGACACCTAATTGTATATGTTTGAAGGGGTTTGAAATTAATTCAGAAGATGAATGGGACACACCAGACACTATGAAATGTGTAAAGAAATCACCAACAGAATCAGATTGCAGAAATGGAGAAGGGTTTCAAAAGCTTGCACGAATGAAATTGCCCGATATTAATTGGTTAAACCAAAGTATGAATATTAAGGAATGTTATGCAGAGTGCTTGAAGAACTGCTCGTGCAGGGCTTATGCAGACTTAAATGAAGGTGGAGGAATTAGTGGCTGCATGATGTGGTTTACTAACCTGATTGATATGAAAGAATGCTCAGACCGATTCACTTGGGGACAGGATATCTTTATACGAGTACCCGCTTCAGAACTAGGTAAGGGTGTTATTTTATTTACAGTTGAACAAGGAAATGCAAAAGAACTGCTGCATTCCTAATGGCGTGGCTTTGGTCCACCTACGTTAGGAAAACCAATCTGTTCTGTTTGTACATTTTATTACTCTGAAAAAGAATTAAATTTCAACAAATTGATTAAGTATTTTCATGCTGCCTACTCTAAAATCAGTTAATGATTCGAGCAAGAAGAAAAGAATAAAAATCATTGCATCGGTCTCGACTACTTCTGGCATCCTTATATTCGGACTTGCGTTCTGGAAAGTTTGGAAGAAAAGAAAGAACAAAGGTACTACATTCATCTCATCTTGCTCATTTTTTGTTAGATTTCATGAAGTTCATTTGGCAATATCTTAAATTCAGTTTATGATATAATGACACTCAATTAGTTTCCAAAATATATTAAAACAATTCATACACTTCTGAAATTTATTAGTAACCGTTCTGAGGGGAAAACTAGAACTAGATTAATTTGTATGCTAATGAAATCTCAGTTGAGGTCACTAACATTCACTCTATTTAAAATGAACAGGTGACGAAGAGGTTCAAACTTTAATTGTCCTGCAGAGCAAGAAGGAAGACACGGAAGTACCTTTATTTCCTTTAGCAACGGTAGCTACTGCCACTAACAATTTCTCTAAAGCCAACATGATTGGTGAGGGTGGATTTGGTCCTGTTTACAAGGTAAAAAGGTTATATGTTATGAAACACTCACCAGAAGTTGCCTTAAACCTCTTCATAGCAAATGATAAACTTTCTTATCTGTTTGACAATACACAGGGAAATCTTTCAGATGGACAGGAAATTGCAGTGAAGAGGCTTTCAAAACAGTCAGGACAGGGTCTTGAAGAATTCAAGAACGAGGTCGCTATAATCGGCAAGCTTCAACACAGGAATCTTGTTGCTCTTATTGGAAGCTGCGCTGAAGGAGATGAAAGGATACTGATCTATGAGTATATGCCCAATAAAAGCTTGGATTATTTTATTTTTGGTAGCATTTCTGAACCCTATATCCATATAATTAGTCACACATTTATTAGTTACTCAAGTTCGATCTTACATTCAAAATAGAAAATTCTAGGACAAGTTTAATTTCAATTACTGAAGTTGGCAATGATGTGCAGATCGTGAAAGAAGGAAGCTCTTGTCCTGGAAAAAGCGCTTTGAAATTATTATTGGGATTGCAAGAGGACTTCTCTACCTCCACCAAGATTCTAAATTGCAAATAGTTCACAGGGATCTGAAGACCAGTAATATCTTGTTAGACAGTGAATTGAATCCTAAAATTTCAGATTTTGGGTTGGCAAGAATTTTCAAAAATGATGCAAAAGAGGTGAACACAAAGAGAGTTGTCGGAACATAGTAAGTTCTACTACTATAATTAAATGTATTTTCAATTTTAAAGAACTTATATATGATCCTTTGATGCAGCGGCTACATGTCTCCTGAGTATGCCACTGATGGCACAATTTCTTTGAAATCCGATGTTTTTAGCTTGGGTGTGCTTCTGCTAGAGATAATAAGTGGAAGAAGGAATAGAGGATTCCATCACCTCGATCACCATCATAACCTTATTGGACATGTAAGTAGAAAACTTATATGCTGCTGCCTTTTTTCACACTACCTATTTTGGTGAAAACATTAAGTACACGTGTTAAAATATTCTCAGGCCTGGCTTCTTTGGAATGATGGAAGGGCCCTGGAACTAATGGATAGGTATTTAGAAGATTCTTTTATCGAATCTCAAGTTAAAAGATGTATTCAAGTGGGTTTATTATGCGCTCAAAAATTCCCAGAAAGCAGGCCAGACATCTCTTCTGTAGTTTTCATGTTAGCAAATGAAGACGTGGTGCTTCCTCGACCTAGAGAGCCAGGTTTCTTCACAGAAAGAGGTTTCAGCACAGATACATCATCAAGTAAAGATAAATCTCTTACAGGAAATTATTTGAGCGTAACCATAGAGGAAGGCAGATAATTTCATGCGCCAGTTTAGTAGTGTTTTTCGGCTGGGGAATGCAGTCATTATGCAGATGCTTTTTTCTTTATCGATGCCATAAACTTTAATGTCTTTCTACCGTTGTTTATGTGTTTGTAAAATAGCCAGAAATTGCTATATTGAGTGGAAAAAGAAAAAAAATTTCTTGATAGGAAACCAGCTAAAGAACCTATGTTCTTTAATTTCATTTTAGAAATCAGAGGAGTGTAACAAATAGAAATTGAACAATAAAATTGCATTGAGAAGAACTTGTGTAAAAGAAGATAAAACGTTTATTCATCATAAACACTAACAATCTCTTCTTTATTTCTGGGGAAGAGAAACAGTCTCATATCTCTCTTCACTAAGGAAGAGACAACATCTTAAAACTCTCTTCACTAAATCAAGCATACACCATACATTCCCTTCTATATGTTTAAAGGGATAACTGACAATAACTGAAATACAACCATTACAAAGAAGTTCTGAAAATAACTTCTATTTGATTTTATCTAAGCCTTAAATTGTCTAAAACGTGCCTAGGCATTAAGCATTCTGGAATTTTTTCCAGCCTTTCATCATCTTTTTTGCTACAGCATCTCTTTTCTTCAACCACAAAAATTTCAATTTCTACCAAAAGGTGTTCACATTCCAACATTTCAGAATAAGGGGAAGTAATTTAATGGTCGGAACATCATAGTGCAGTTTGACAAACTATCTAGGTTCCCCCAGTTAATCACTGTTTCTTGATGAAAGATGCTACTTCCACTCCTAGCATGAATGGTTTCACCAACATTTGGATCACTGAATTACTAGTTTAACCAGGCCTTTCTAAAATTGAACTAATAATTTTTGGCTGATTATGTCAACTCATAGATTGCCAAGGGCATGAAACAGGAAAGAATGCTATTCCTACAAAAAGCGACATTTCTAAATATCTGTCCTCTAAATAAGATAGAAATCATCAATCAGTGACTGGTCAGTACATCAAGATTTACAGGTGTCATGTACGCTTTAATTTGGGGACTGTCAAGGTTCTAAAATTTTCTTCTGGATCGGATAGAAGTCTTCTGATCCAAATGTTGTCGAATAATAGAAGGGCCCTGTAACTACTGGACAGGTGTCAGAAGGTTCTTTCATCGAATGTCAAGTTCAAAACATGTATTCAAGTGGGTTTATTTTGTAATTAAAAGTTCCCACAAAACAGGCCAGAAATGTCATCTGTAGTTTTCATGTTGGCAAATGAAGAAGTTATGCTACCTCAGCCTAGACAATCAGGTTTCTTCAAAGAGAGAGGTTTCAGAACTGATACAACATCAAGCATAGAAAATTCATACGGAAAGTGCACTAGTATAAACATTCAGGAAGGCAGATAGAAGTTCATGTTGTTGTTTAGTTGTCACGCCCCCTCCCTAGTATCTCTATCCCACCGGATCCGGACGCTTCAAGAGACTCAGGATTCTGAGAAGCAGGTGAATATTTTGAAAACATTTCATAAAAACAAATCTGTTTATAGAGTAAATGAAAAGTAGTACATCTACATATTTAAAGTTTTGAAAGCGGAAATACACAACATAAATGCTTTGAAAGCAAGAGCTGAAAAATCCAGTTGCAGAAAACATAGTATCAGAGTCCACTCAAGTTTGAAAAAACATGCAGATTATCATGTCAATGCCACCTAAAGCATAGAGTATGCTCCACACAAGTTTGAAAAAACATGCAGATTATCATGTCAATGCCACCTAAAGCATAGAGTATGCTCCACACGAACCCGATCTACAACCTTGGGTGGGGGGACATAAAAAAGTGAGTTGGGAAGCCCAGTGAGCGGATAATACATTTTATACGAAAATAACTTTTTAACTTTGAAAACGTACATGGAAAATCTAATTGCATGACACACAACACCAATGCACTCACATGATAAAGCAACGATCATCATATATTATTCACAGATGCTATGAAATCACATACCACTATCATATTAAATAAATCAATCATCACGACCATACTAGCACCTAGGGACCTAGGTCATGACTCTCCAAATCAGTCCCAAATATAGACATAAAGCTAAACCACTTGCAATCTACCCTTGGGATGGTACCATCCATAGTCTACCCTTGAGATGGTATAAACATCACTGGATAACCATACTCGACTTGTAGTCAACCCTCAGTGCGTCATAATGATATCAAATACAATCCCCCCACGGTCTACCCTCGAGGCGTCAAAATTCCACATCGGCCAATAGTTTCCTAAAAAGGAAGTGATTGCGTTGGATTCTTATGATTATGGATGACACCCTTTTACAAGGGTAATAGATTATGTAGAACTTAAATATCAAATAGTTAGACAGGGAGACATTGGAAAAGTAACAACTTCAACTTCATAACTTTTGCAAGTTTTATTATTTTATTTATTTATTTTTTTGTTGACCGGGGTGTGTAGGCCAAATTACCTGTACCTAAACTAATTCTTGGGCCTTAAGTTAATGGTTGTTTGCATATATCAAATTTCCAACAGTCAAATCACAAATAAATCTCTCATTCTATACATAGAAATAATATGGTCCACCCTGATACAACAAATACATCTAAGCTAGAAGCAGAAAAAATCCGAATTGAGTACATGATGGATTGTCTTAACTAAGGACTCAAAACATGAGCGCCCGATGACCAAGTTCTTGACTTAACTAGCGAGATTATGGTTTGGGCTTTGGGGACCACAATTGACAGTGTTTACAGGTAATTCAAAGACTTACGCGGTTTGGAAAGTTTAAGGGATTGTGACAAATGTGACGCTGAAAGTCCCCCAATAATTAGATTTTTGTATGCAGGCCATAGATAAGAGACAGTGAAAGTCTTAAGAATTTAATCCCCAATAATTGATAGATTTTTTTATGCAGGCCATAGAAAAGAGACAATGAAAGTCTTAAGCATTTAATGGCTTGAGGTAACGTTTGTGATAGGGACATAAATTAACGAACCGGGTTATCTCCTTGAAAAGATTCTGCAAAATTATGAGCTCTTTCTTAACACAGTAAAAACTTAAAAGTACAGTCAGGAACGTATATTATTGATGCTAGATTATGACACCCACTATTCGCAAGTACAAAGTGCTAAGCAGACTTGTAAATTATACATAAACTGAAAAATGGAACAAATAAAAGGAAGATGATTTTTAAAGTAGTTCAGATGCTTAAAGCGAATCCTACGTCCATTGTCTTTTTATTTATGAAAGAGTACAATCAGGTCACATGTAGGGATCTAAGAGAACAGAAATACAGAGAGGGGGAGAAAGTGTTTTTTGTTATCAGAACTAGAATCCCAAAAAATAGAGAGGAATCCTCTATTTATCGTAAGAGGTTTTTAGGTAATGATTATCGGTCTACCAATGGGCAGGTGCTGTGCAATTCCTACCCTACTTCCCATTGGTCGGTTGCATGAAAGATATTCTTAAATCGCGCAAGGCTTGGGCAAGTAGGTGACTCCCAACCACTCACTCGCCAGACCTTTACCTGCCAAGCTGATGATAGTCTTACTCCTTCTATCCTTGGGTGACATGGCTACACCTAGATGACACAATGCCTTCCTGATTCTGATTAGTCTTTGCTGATGTAAGCTTGCGTTAGCCATGATTTTTTAGGCATAACAGAAGCCCCCCGATTCTTAAGGTTCAAGGCTTGAACTTTGAGAACTTCATGATTATGCTATGATTTGGCTCATCCCGAGGATCGCTTGCTCGAGCTGCAGGTGGAGGACGGTTGAAATAACAAGAAGTTCACGATTTTACTCGACTAGCGAATTGAGTGGAGGTCACGACATGGGCTTGGCGAACTTCACAAGCGACCTAAGATGATCATCCCCCAAAGGTTCGACGACCTGGGGTTAGATCCTGCTCAGTGCTATACCAACATGCTTCGAACTTTGCCGATCGCTCTCGACCTAAAAACACTAGGAAAATTCTCTCTGAAAATTGGAGGTCACTTTGTTCTCGAGCTCAGTACATGGAGAAGAGTGTTTCATTCGAATGACCTTTTCAGATGTTATCCATTGCGTTTGATAGCAGGCCTGTTCAATAAAGTAATCTTTATCTGAAAAACGTGCCTTTGCGTAATAAGTGTTAGCCATGAGCATTAAATGCAAGTCATGTTGAAACGACATTCTCTTTTAAAGTATTAAATGCGAATGAGGGTGTATTCAATATAGTCAAGATAACCATGCCGACGTTTGGTTTCTCCAACGGAGGGAAATATTGATTGATCTTCACGAAGCATGAAGGTTACTCTTCACGAGGATTGGTGACATGTGGTCGCATCTAATGGCTAGGAACGCGTCTCGTCCAAACGTCGCTTGCAGAGGAAACTAAGCATCGCCTTCTTCCCTATTAAAAAAAACCTAACCCCACTTCATGTTTTTCACAGAATTCAAATCTTCAGAGAGAAAATATAGAGTTTTTTGCACTAAAAAAAGTAGTTGATGCGCACTCGCCTCTACGACAGAATGTTCATCCCCAACAACCAAGAGGTAAGGAATACTCTTCCCTTTCTTCTTTTCATTCTTGTTAAAAACTCGATTTTCTCACAGCAATGGTAGGTTGAACGACTGGTAAATTTTTCATGATGCACATCCTTTGGTAGTGTTAAAAAAGGAACACTCTTAAAAATCAAAAACCTAGGGAACAAATCATTGGGAACTCATTCTCAAGGATGTTTAGGGTTTTTAGGGACTAAGGAGGGAAAATTAGGGTTTTTCTTACACTTTTGAGGCATTGTACGAAACACTGCGTATGGAGACTGAGTCATCTCTTTGTGTCGCACCTTTTCAGACTTCAAGAGTAATGGACTCTTCAGAGATGAGAGTAGGTGCTGGAACTAGCTCACAGCCCTCGAGCACCTAGGCAGGTCCTGCATAGGCGGTGCTATCAGTAGCCACTGTGGATGAGATTCAAAATGCGGTAGACCAGTTGCGATCAATGTAAATGTCTATCAGCATAGGCTACACACCACTTAGGACCCTCCAGAGGGAATGGCTGCGATCTCAGAGTCAATCTTCAAATGCGAGGTGATAATACCTTTTCACCCCTTCATCAGATCGATCATCGATCACTTCAAGGTTGTGTCATTTCAACTGACACCCAA